GTCCACGCTGGTGTTCCAGAAGGAGCGGCAGGCGGGGATCGACCCTCGCCCCCGATAACTGACGGCGCTGGTTTGATGGGGGGCACCACGTTGTCAAGCGATGTCCGCTGTTCCGGAAATTCGTACTGCAAAGGAACAGCCTGTGATCGGCACACATCTGAAGTAAGCGGTCTCCGTTGTCCGTGCGTCTAGTGTCCAAACCAAGACGACTACCCAATCGGGCCTCAGCAGCGCTTAGTGTACCTACGTGGGCGTTCATATGACCAGCAACCACAACGATATCTGAGCTTTTAGCCTGTTGTAGAAGGGCACCTAGAGCGTCATAGAAACTGTCCTTGGCAGATTCAGAGCTACAGTCAGTTGTGGCGTAAGCAGAAACAATAAACAAGGTGCGATGAACCTCACTTCCTCTAGATTCTCTCACCGATGTTGCCAAACGAACCGCACAGAGGCGACTGTCAACGGGTATCCAATCAAGCAGAGACGCTTCCGCTCGTTCGCTCAATACAATACCCACCCCAGCATATCCAGCTGCAGCGGCCTCTGCATCACCAGAGGTGCGCAGTCGGAACCTGGAAGAGAGCGAGGAGACAGTCAGTTCGATTACAGTACTTGCGTCCTGCGTCCTTGTTTCTGACAGACAACATACATCAATACAGAGGGAATCCAGCGTACGCGCAACAGCCACCTGTTGACCTGCTTGCTTCAGTGTACGAACACTGAAGGTGGCTAAGTAGACAGTCTTTCAGGGTTTGAAAACAGACTTCGAAGTGTTTTGGGTTGTAACTGAACTCGGACGTGCAGAAGCTGAAGCTGAGTGTGATGCAGGGCGAGAAACACGGTCAGTCCTAGAGCTGGGACCTGCGGAGAAAGTATTCGAATTTGGGTGGGGGAGGGTGGAAGACGGAAAACGTGAAAGAAGGGGGGGCATCAGTAGTAGCATGTTTTCGCTTACCCGCCCTGCTGTATGCAGCAAGTAAGGCGATCCGGCTGATGGCACCACGCGACGGCCGATGTGGCATGAGTTTACATGTGTATGTGCAGTTCATGGTTGTACGTGGGTTGGGATACTGTCTGGGCGCCCACACCTAGACAGGAGGACGATTAGGGTCCTCAACCTAAGCCTTTGGCTCAAAAGCCTAACCGCAAGGCGGCGGTGTTTGGCGGGAAATCCAAATGCATTACCATTTCTACGGAGCAAGTCGCCACATGTTCCAGCCCCCAACCTGGAGGGCCAGGAGACTGGGTTCGTCGGACTCTACCCATCTTCGTGACGGAAAAGGGGCACGTTCACGGTTTTCGACGATCCACAGAGTTAAAGAAACCGTCGCTGGACATCTGAAAGAGTGATGCCGTTCTAAAATCTGTCCCAAAGCACGGGTACGGTCGCCAGGGTTTCACCAGTCCGAAAAGGGTGTCTTGTCGTGTTGGAGGGATGACAGCGCGCAGGAATTCCGTTGACGACAGTCTGCTACCATTCTTCTCTGTTCCATTCTTCCAGAGACTATGTTGTAGGAAGCCAGTTATCTAAGCTGATCAGCCCATGCCCAAAAAGACAACTCTGCGAACTGATTAACATTCCATTTTCCCGTATAATATTTCGCTGAGACCTACCTTCTTTTTGTCGGTTGATCGAAGCAGCTTAAACACACGGCTACTGCCTGTAGTGGAAGTCTTCTCCTGGACCTTCACAATCCACCAGCATTCTGTCATCCTTCAAACTCTTGATTACCCGGCGTTTGACAGATCTTCGTGTGCCGCCGTACTAGTTACTGGGATGACTTTTTACTAGCAGCATCAAGGGCTGATCTCGTTGCTAGTCAGTATTCATTTCGTCGGGTGGAATTACCTGGATACAGTTCGTGGCTTTTTCCAATCGACTTCATTCAACCACCAACCAATCTCTGTCATCAGCATAACTGTGTCTTCAACAGCTTTCCGGCCAGATCGGCTAGCTACTGAAATTCACCGAAGTTGATTAACAGAGTCGCACTGTTTCGGCACGTATAGTGCTGACGGGAAGCGATACGATAACTGGGCTCGCGTAATGGCATGGTCGGAGTGAGGCTGCGTACCCGAAGGGAAGGGAATCTTTAGTTGATTCTCTTGAGGGACCCTTCTCGGAACCAAGCACTCAATAGTCCGATCCACTTGGCCTGTTCCCAGGGTGCCGGTAGAAAGGTAGTTATTTTCCACCCCTGTTGTGTCTGAGCATACCAATTGCCTTCTAAGCAGTGCCAGACTCTTTGGTTCTACATGCATTTCGACCGTATTGGGGAAATACGTCACCGGTCACGGCCAACAACTGGCCGATGAAAGTGTGTGGGTTTTTTTTGGCCAGCGTTCTCTAACCCATCCTTGTGCGTGGGAAGACAGCATCGCTGCTTCCACAAAGATGGACATACTAATCGATTGAAGGAGACGCCTTACTGCCTTTACACTCCTATCGTAGAAGACAGTACGATTTTGCTACCGGACCACCTCGTATAACGGTCATCTGCAGTTCTTTGTCAGTCTGCTTACCATCGGTCTTCTTTGATAAACTGAGTCTTGGCAAGCGTAGCCTTATTGAAGCCTACTGTGGCTTATTGCAGCACGGAGGCCCCACCACGACAATTCGTCGAATGTGAACTGGGGTTCCTCTCAGGAAGCGATACCCCAGGGAATATCGTCTTCGGATCAAGACGACAACTGGTTCCTACAACGACAACCATCTGCTTGAAGTCAGCATTCGATCGTGGTCTCAAAGCATTCCGGATAGAAATACCACCAAACTGTTTGGGTTGCACTCCCTCCTTCCTTCCGTGTCACGCATTAAAAAGTAGGCTAAGACGCAGGGTGTGTCAAATTTTGTAAGACAATTAACAGTAATCTAACATCGCCTGCTACCTAATTTAAATTACCGCTGAAGTAAAATTCTGAACGAACTGTCACGTAACCAGACTTACGGGTGTCTGACGCCAAACTCAATAAAGTATTTTGTGATGAGACGTGAGACATCCGTGAGGTCATGTCCTTCAGTGAGAGCCTCGTAACATGAATTTTTACTGCGCAAAAGTTTAGTACTCCGTTGGAAATAACAAGCCCCCCAGTTGAGCAGTCCATCCTACTTCAAACAGAGGGAAATACGCATGAGTATGCAAGAGTAACTGACAGTGTCCTGCAACTTGCCTGAAGGATCAACTTTTTAGAAGATATAAGGCTGGTAGTGGAAGTTCTGGCTGAAGCAATTTCCCTAACTGAGGTAATAATGGGTATTGGAAGCATCTCAGGAAGTATTGATCAGCTTACTGTGGACGTATGCTAGAAAGGTACTGGGTTGAATGCAAGCCGGCTTGTCTTGTGTTTGAAGGGCACAAGTTAACTAGCTGTAGCCCATGAGGCCAATCGTGAATAAATTTTTTCAAGCGGTACACGGATCAGGGCGATACAGAATAGTGCGTAGTAAAAAGCTGACAGGAGAAAATATATGACAGTATCCCGAATGCGAATATCAAGAACAGTGGATAAGAAAGTGAGCAGCCAGGGAGTAGGCTAGAAAGCTGGTTCGGATGGCCGGTGATGGGCGTGTGATCGGTAGCAGTTGTTAAACTAGATCGGTAGTTCTGTAGAGAAACTGGCGGGCAGTCGATTTGGGCGGCAAGCATACAGGATTTATCGATTCCAGTTTGTCTTCGATCACGCGCTAGTTGACCAGCACGCTGTACCAATTGGACAATCTCCGCACCTGTATAACCGTTCAGATCATGCTCCGCGAATCTTTTAACCCAATCGGTTTCAAGCAAGTTTTTGTCCAGAAGAGCACGCTTGGTTAGCTCTAATCGAACGATAGCGGCTCGCGCAGTGGAGTCTGGTGGAGGGATTTCAAGTACAAGGTCGAAGCGGCCTGCTCGACTTAGAGCCTGAAATTCAAAGAAAGTAAACGTCTTCAACAACAGAAGTAACCTCTGCGATCCACAATTTGGATGCACGCTAAATGCTTTTCCAATTGATTAGACAACCGGAATTACCGGAATATGACGATTACAGTGAGTGACTTACGCTCTCTCTACAAATGACCAGTTAGTGTTTCGGTAGACTGTGTAGTACGTGGTAAGCGAAACATGCTGTTAACCTTGTGGAATTCAAACCGAATAACTCGAATCAGATAACTCGAGTACATCCAACGAGCTCACTAAATAAAGTTCTTAAGTAGGATGTAATGTTGATGGAAGTTCTAGGGCCAGGCCTAGTTGATGAAGGATGAATAAAACATTCAAGCTCGATCACTTTTCAAGTTGATCGCTCATATGTAGTTGGACGGCGATCGAAAAATGACCTAACTAGACCGTGAAGGGGTTGTAATTTAGCTTTTGCAGGATGATTGACTTAACTTCAGTCGGTGCCGCAGTGAACAACTGCTTTCCGTTGTGATTACAAAGAGGCTCATCATTTTCGCTTAACCGAAACAGGAAATGATAATGTGTATGTCACAATGAACCGCCAATGTCCCCAGTAGGAAAATTCACGGAGTAGTGGGATTTTGAGGCTCTAAGTCCGAATTTTATACTGTACATAGGGGGCGAACCCGATAAGCACCATTCGGTCGTTTCGTGCTTATAAGGTCGAGACGCGGATCAAGCCTGAAAGATCCCGGGAAGGAGTTCGAATACCACCGTTCAGTTACGGGTGTAACAGTATGTACTACTGATGAAGAATGCAATTAGTCTGCGGTCTGATGTCCAAGGTCCCTTTCCCCGCATTTGATGGAAGGTGAAGGTTACTGTAGAATCTATAGAATCGCTTTTCATTATTCGTATACTATTGCTTACTAATCGACGAGCTTCCAGGAGGGTTCAAGAAGGCGCTTGAGAATGTTCAATTTTAAAAAATTCTGTGCAGATGAGATGTTTACTTTTGTGTCTAGTGTGGCTTGTTTATTTATTAAGCACATTCGCAGAGAAGCGCATTCTTCCGTGCCGATCAAGTAGACACTTGAGTAAAATGCAGGGGCAAACAAACAATTCCACTGTTCGGACAGCCAGATAATCTACAAAGAGCAGAGTATCGATATGGTAGTTGAAAACTCACAGAATCCAATTTGTCCATACGGTTTGTAGCTCCGATAAGAATAACCTGTCCGGATTGGCCTTCTACTCCATCCATGGCCGTCAACACTTCGCCGAGAACACGTTCACTGGCCCCGGATTCACTGCAAACAGATGGAATGTAGGCTACTGAACGGGGTTCGAAACGAGAATCCTTTTCTAAGGGTAAACGACAAAAGTTTGTCTCCAAAGCCACAATTTTCTTGGGAATAGGAAACTCATGACGAACTGTACAGTACAGCCCTGAATAGCAATAAGTCAAGCAACAAAGCAAACCAATAAGAGAAAAAGGCATTTCATTACAATCCTTAAGGATGCCTTCACCGTAATTGAACAGGGAGCTTCATCGTCAACTTGGAAGATGAGAACTCAGCTAATGTTCTACCACACGTTTCGCATTTAAAAATCTAAAGACCGAGGTGTGCAGTTATAAGATAGTTTAGAATCTAAACATGAAATGCATGTGGGCGGCGGATAAGATGTCGACGATGTTTCACATGGAGGGCAAGGAGGTCATTTTTTTAATCCAGAAAAACCTGCCCCAACAGTCAAAGTTGTTTATGTCATGGCAGAATAGGAATGGCGAATAGGAAATGCGGTGACTTCTTCTCAACACAACGTTCCTTTTAAGATGGATGAAAACTCTTCGACCGCCCTGTACCGGTTTCGTCCTCCTTGAAGCTAACCTGGTAGGCGCAGTCCTATTTCGTAGCTTGAGTGAGCTTGTATGAACGGGATATTCAACTGAAGACCAACTGGATATCTCATCTGCGATATCCTTCAACTGTATTCGCTGCTCAAAGAGCACCTCATGTTTAGCTTACAACATTTGCATCGGCTAAAATGAGGGAACCCTCTAATTCATATCCACTATGTGCGTAAGTGTGGTCAGTGGCCGCATGGCGTTGCGGTTAACAGGGAAAACTATCAACCAAAGCGAAGCATAGCCGATTCTGCTACATCCAGTTAATGGGTCCCAATAAAAACGTAACGATCAGTGGATTGCTTTCATGGACAAACTGATTTCTGCCTCTGTTGGTAAAATCCGCAAAACTAAGTCTCATTGATCTTCTGCTTATCAAGTCCAGTGTGTCCTATTAGAAAAATCCACTTGACTACAGGCTGCAGGTGATGACTGAGGCGAGTTAAACGGGTGTAGACAGCGTATAATCACGGTCATTCGTGGTCAACAGACAGGCTGCTCGGGCTACCAAAACAGCTACTGTAGTCCCCACACACAATCCAAAAAGCCACTGCTACGCAATCAAGAAGGATACTGAACACATGAATGCATGCTTACAGCAATGTATTTCTGAAATGCGGTTCTTTGGGTTGAGAAAATATACGTGGAGAGTCTACTCACGTTAACCAAAATATTGCTAAAGCAACCAGTCGCAACTTTTGGTCTTTCTCATTTCCTCCTATAGTTGATACATTTGGAGGCACCAAATCAGGAAACGCGCAGATCTCTGCTTAACTTTTTGTCGGTAATTCCTTTATTCCCATGGCCCTACATATCTGACTCACCTTCGCAGATTAGTAAGTACCCCGATGGATAGTCACCGTTTCCTGTCAGAACTGAACACTTCGAAACTATCTCACTCCGACGGTATCTGTGAGGTTAACTGTGCAATGGAACGCGCACCAATCATTTCAAAGCTTTTTAGTGTATCACTATCTACTGGTATTTCCTTCCAAAATGGAAAAGAATTCTGATTCCCATTACTAGACGCTGCTCCGCCAATGACCTCAACAAGTGTCGGCTATAGACGTAATACACTACTCATAAGGTTGCTGGAAACTCCTCGACTGCCCATGACCGGTTATGCCCTTCTTGGAACTGATCACGTAGGCGCAGTCGCCGGGTTTCCGTCAACCTTATGTTCTACTTGAGACCAAGTTGCACGAAACTAGCGAACTATACTCATTTACAAACAAATTTGGTTTTCCGAGAGACTCACCTGGACCTCTCATTTATGATATTTTTAAGCAACTGAATATTCTGCATCAGGCCGCCTCATGTTTCAGTTGTTATGACATTAGAGAGATTTGGGAGATCCAAATGGGTTCTCAGTGAGTCTCTCGAAAAACCGAATTTGTTTGCAAATGAGTGTATTTCGCTAACTGTCGGCTCTTTCTTACCTATGGTTCAATCAAAGCTCCTATACCAAATCTGAAGAAGCAACGGCTCCGTGATCTTCAAGACAACGTTGTCTTGAGCTTAGTAGTAGCATGGGTTCGGGCACCAGGGTTACACGTCGACATGTTGGATCATGTATCGCAAGTTTGGTCTACACCACTGAACTTATCTAGTGGAATAAAAGTGTTTGCCCTAGACACCAAACCTTCTTACTGAGCTTCCTATGTATGGACGTGTGTGGATCATTTGAACCGAAAACTTCCTTCACAGTGGTTCAATACAAACAGGCATGCGGCAACTCTAGAGTTCCACGAGGATCTGTTCCTTCCCAGAAACTGTTATTTCTTTGTGGAGAAAAACATCTATCACCCATTATCTCTCTGAATCCATGACGCCTCAGAAAACATCGAATGCTTATCTACGCCTTACAACCCCCAGCGCTCTGTTGCACCTTGACTGTGATAACCGAGCCCAAGTCATTATTGCTCTGAACGCCAACCCACAACTGGGGTTCATCAAATTTAGTAAAACACAACCTTCCCAGGTCCTTCCACCCTGACGTCTTGTTATATCTGCTGATTCGTCAATCTGTGGTATCTGCTGCTGACCCGCTCCAGTGCCTAGTGTCGGAGAGAAAAGACTCACAGATGGGAACACAACAGCTGTATTCCGAACAAGCGAGTGAGTGAGAGAGCAAAAGTTACAAAGGCCCCACGCTATTTAAAGGGGACTTTCTGACATTGATCCAGGCTGTCTGATAGGCGTTAGTGATCACCCATCAACATCGATCGTGCCTCTGTGAAAAGCCTGAACGCTGATCACATTCGGTCATGCTTCTGTGGCCCGCAAGACCACTCATCAGGTTTTGCTGAATTGATTGAATGATTGACTGGCCTGGATGCTTCCCGGCCTTCCTGTTGAGTTTTTGGTGGAGCAGTAGGTTGCGGGCGCTCTGAAAATGCTTTCAGGAATCTGACCTTCCTGATACGTATATTAAAGGGATTACTACCAATTACCGTTCCTTGTCGTTCACCCTTATTGGTCTTCACAATGAATTACCAAGGCTATTACACGCCAGTGCTTGCAGCGCAACCACCCGTGAAAGTTGGTTACCTTTTTGGGTACACAAATTCTTCACTCCTGCCCAAACTATCCTCCTTCATTCATTCCAAATTCGTCCTAAAGTACCTCCGTGGGGTTTGGGGTGCGACCCTTTCTTCCTAATCGTCCATACTTTATTCCATTTGACGTACACTCCATCGACACCGTTTCACTTAATGATAACCTACGCCCCGGCGGACCTAGTGCTTTCTACTTCATTGTACCGTTATTATAAGGAAAGGTGTTCATCGGAGCTTGTTGGTTTTCTCTCTTTTCCCATGCTCTACAACAAGGCAATATGCTTTGCTCATCTACTACTTATCTGACTGCTTCTCCCCTTCTTTTTTTCGGGAACTTCCCGTCTATGGAACTGTTTGCCATTCTCAGCCTTCCGTGACCCAGCTATTCTAACGTTAACATCCATCTCAATCCGCATTGAAGTCCGTGTTATTTCAAGCACAAGTTGTGTTGTTTTTCACTTTGTCGTGAAAAGCCTCTGAACACAAGTCCTTCCACCGTACTTCATACCTACGTAATAAAACACCAGTCTTCAGATGCAATAACAAATCAATGCAAGGACTGAGCTGTTCAGGTGATGTGTTTTTGGACGGGAGGTTCTTAACACTATAAAAAATCCTCTCCTAAAAAGAATGAAGAGGAAACAATCCAAAGGAGGTAAAACAACTACCCGTACAAACCCAGTAGGAAACTGGAAAATCGTGAATGCTCATCACGGTCAACAATATAAGAATAAAATAGCAGAAAAACTCGATCAGAAAAATACCTTGAGCTACGCGAAGGTAGAAGTAAATCAATTTCGTCAATGAATAGGATGGCAGGAGCGGAGGCACGAGCTTGAACCAAAATTCGCCGCATATTGCGCTCACTATCACCCACATATCGGCCAAATATGCGTGATGCTTGGATAGCGATTAGAGGAAGTTGACACTCGGTGGCAAGAGCTCGAACAAACATAGTTTTCGAGCATCCTATAAAAGAATGGGGAGAGAACAAGACTTCCATTGAACAACACGCTTGAAAACACGGCCAACCGCACAACTATAATATACGTGGGAGCGGGAATCGATATCCTCAGCACACGCTGGAGCACTAGGAGGTGTAGGCGAACACCAGTAACCACCTGAGTAGCCGGTGACCAAGTGAAAATGCAAAATAACTGTACTTCTAGAACCTCGTTTCTGTTAAGTTCGGACAAAATTGCTCGTTCACTTGAAGCATGCCAAAGCCATCATGTCTTATCTACCATTAAACCAATAAGCTGTCTTCCTAGAGCAGTCAAGCAACAGCTCTAGGCGGGTGGGTATCCGACCCGATGACATACTCAACTCACGCATAGAATTCCATGGTAGATGTTTCATTATTTGGTAAAAAAGAAGCGCGGTGTGAAAAGACTAAGCTCATTCAGCGATTTTACGATTGCGAGGTTAAGTTATTGAATCATGAATCCATAACAGAACTCGTCAAGTTTCCTCGATCAGCGTCATGAACCTATTCAAAATTTTCTCCCGCAAACCAAATCATAAATGATGAGCAGAGAAAGTAGGTTGAAGGTCCTCAGGTTATACATACTGAAGGTTTTGAAAGCTGTCAAACGACCAAAAATGATTACCTATTCGGTATGTGAGCTCAATAAACATAAGCTTACCAGGGGGACCATGAAACAGGATGCCGCGGGGAACGCGCAATCCTAATGCGGCGTCTGTTCGTGCCTCAATTCCATCGGGTTTCGCAGCATTCGACAATCGATTTTGCACAATACTGCGCAGTAAATCTTTCAAGCGGTCGTATCCACCTATATCTTTCCAATGCAGGGGGTCAAAATGGCTCGTGAATTGTGATATGTTTATCTGAAGATAGGAACGCGACTCAACGGCGAGTACATCACACAAGTCTTCGAGGGTCCCCACAACGACCGAAGAATCACCAGCATTTGCCACCTGTGAGACATTCCGGCAACATTTGGACAAGAAAGAGGCGAAGCCAACCTGCACGAGACGGTTTAAGTCCCTACAAGTAAAAAGTTCATAAAATGAATATGACAGACCGATAACGCAGATATTTTGGCTGTTCCAAAAAAGCAGAGAGATGTCTCTGCACGAATCCACTTCAAGCATATATGAGGGGCGCAAAATTATTCAGATTGTATTTAATAAAAAGCACACTAACATCCTATCTGTACGACCGGCAAACGAGAGTAGCAATCCAAAGTGTGTACTGGTGTGGTGGATTACCAAAGTAACCGCCAGTACCACTGCTCGCATTTACGCTCAAAACATTCACAAACGAATCCAAATGAAGATATCTGGATTCAATTGGTTACAACGTAATGTTGTCAGTCGTTTCGGACCTTGCCAAAAAAGACTGTATTCATCCGAGTACCGATAGGTCACGGAAAATGTGGCGAACAACTAGGCTGGACAACATCGAGCCCGGAAAAAACTCACTGGTTAAGGCGCACACGTAGTGACCGGAAGGTCGGTGGTTCAAACCCCACCCCAGCATTTCCACTGCTTCTCGAGAGTCTGGGGCGACCTGGAAGTACATCAGGTTTCGTGCTTTCCAGTGTCACCGAAAGGGTTTTACAGCTGAACGAGTATTATCATTATTATTATTATTGTTACTAAGCTTAACATCAGCTCTAAAACAGTACACCAAACAGAACAACAAACGCCGTGGGTCCGTACCTTTGCGGCTTATTAACCAGCCGTAAACAATTACATAGGTCCTGAAAATATATTCATTTAGTCAGTTGAAGGGCCGGGTGATAAAAAACGACAAAAACATTAATCCATGATTATCTCACAAATAAGGCCTTCAAACATCATTTTTGCCAACCCAAATTTATACACAATCGGTACAAAGCCAGCAGATTGCAGGTATTGTCCACTCTGTGTAGCGCACACACAAATCGATGTATCCATGCTTTACAATGCACTGAATTTCTTTTACTGATCATGAACAAGCAGCTTCAGAGAGATGGAACATCCTCCGCTGGAAAGTGACATAACGTAGTGGACAGAATGTATTCACTAACAGGCTCGGTTTGAAAAGTGGTACAATACTGCACTCCAAAGAGAAACACCTCAGGTATGCGAATTTCACTACCCTGAACTTATGCTCCCTTCCCTGGCCAGATACCTGTCCCTTCTTAACGAACTGACATGTAGACTTACCATGTTGATGCACTTATGCATGAATACCTACAGTCTTTTCTTTCATTCAACACACTGAAAAATTGCTAGCAATATCCGCGCACAGCTGAGCTGCGTAAACGAGTGAGGCAAATGTTGGAGAGGGTTCAAATAAACAACGTCCTATCTAAAAGGAAATACATCCGTCTGGGAGTCACTTTTATGTACTAATTTGAAGTAGTAGAGTAAGACACGCTGTATCCTCAGTCAATCAATCGTTCAGTTGTAACACCCTTTCGGTGCCTAGCTGCCGTACTACCAGAACGGAGCACGAGGGCTTGGATACTGCCAGGTTGCCTAAGCCTAGATAGGGGAAGTCGGGATGCAGAATTTGGGTCCGAACCACAGACCTTCCGGTCAGTAACCTAACCTTCATGACAACGCAGGAGAGAAAAGTCTTAAGGATTGCGATGTGCAAAACCAACCTGGGAGTGTATCCATGTAATTTGGATGCCAGATGCGCCAACCTATCCTCTGCCTCTGGTCGTCCGAAAAATGTCTTCACATTGAAGAGCGTAATTGGATTATCTGAAGGAAACCCCGGGAGGGCCGCTGTGGAACAGGCCACTAAACGAAGGGAAATCTGGTGTCGTAGGATTTTGTATCTGTTGTGTGCATCGGGTAGAGATACAAGAATTCTGCGATAGAACATATCTCGTCCCTCAGCAATGTTGAAAATCTCGTCGGTTGTTGTTGCGGTCGCTAGAACAAAACGGTTCACAGTGCCACCGAGTTCCTTCAGAGCATCCACGAACTCAAGAAACATATCTTTCGCGGCGTTCTGTGGCAAAACTGAGTTGCTTTCTTCCGAAGGTGTTACATCATTTTCGTCTGACCCAGTCTGGCTGTCAAATGCCCAACGGTCAACATCAGGCAGGAGAAAAACCACAGGTTGCGAAACAGTGGCTGTCCTGATCCCAATTTTCGTTTTGAGCCAATCCGAGAAAGCATTGGTTATTTTTTGGTCACGCCTTTTACTTCCCATGATAGATCGTGCAACTTGTGGTGTCAGCGTGATAAACTGAATTTGACTGAACAGATCCTGAAAATTAAACATTGATTATTTCGGATCGGTCTAGTAAGAGAGCTGTTCATGAAAAATGTTACGCAAATTAAAATATCAGTCGTACGGAGAACAGCATTAAACATAAACTGTGTTTGGGAAGAAGAATGGTTTCGTAAGTTGACAAATTGGGATAACGCCACGCTAACGGTCAATCACCAAAAGTATTCTCACCAATCCAAAGTGGAACGAACCTTATGAGTCACAGAAGCCTGAAAATATGTGGTAGCATTTAGCATTGACATAATTGAAAGAAGTTTAAACCGTAGACACCAAGTTCATGAACAGTCAGGTACAACAACACAGTCCTGATCAGCAACGAATAACATACCACATCTGATGTTTCCGTGAATAGTCTTTCCGATGTGCCAAACTTTTGTAGAAGACTGGCCTTACCACATCCTGGAAGGCCGTACAGCAGGATTCCATGTTCCACATCTCCAAATGACCTGTTTAAGCACAACGTGCTGATAGCGAAGTCGCGAAGGCAACCACATAGGAGCGATTCAAGGGATTCTAAGCCAAACAGTTCATTTTCTTTATTTTCCTCAACATCTGTGCGACCAGATGATACGTGTTGCAAATCATCAAATTCAATCTGAAGCTTCGTTGAGGGACCGATCTTAAATGCAGGCAAGAAAGGGAAGTGGTCGTGTCAGTTTGGAGGAGCTGGTCGTCCTCGCCATGTTAACCATGCAGAACAATATACAATACAATCCACATTAATAACAGACTACCAGCGCATTGTTTCTGATCAAGTCGAAAAATATTATCATCTCAAAACACCAAAACAATTTCTAAATAATTAACACAACACTTGGAAGACTCAGAGCACTAAGGTATTCAGCAAATACATTGGCTGCGAATTCGTTGTTTTTCTGTGGCTTGGACTAATCTGGTCTGTTCCAAAGAAGATAAACATTTTCTATTCCCTACTCCTTAGTGTCTCAGCAATCAAACGCGCAGATTCCAGCAGCTAGCTAGCGTTCTCTACAGATTTTTGTCAGGAAGCCTATGGTTCCGAAAGTATTTTTGCTAAGTGCCCAGGCACGGATTGTCAAAGAAGAGGTCGGATGCCGGTGAAATGAGTACTTTGATCCTTTTTGGAAATCATCAGGTGGGCACTTCACTCCCTGGTATGTCCCGTATATATAGTCAATCTTGATTTCAATATACTGAAATTGTGTTAACGAGAAAATACAGATTTTCTGATTAACGCTATTCTTACACCGAATGTGTTGCACAAAGGCACTCTGACGTCTCAGTAGGGAGGATATCCGTAGTCCATTGCGGTGATATAACATGCAACTCATCCACCCAACGGCGAACTGATGTCTCGGCAAACGGTGATAAAAAGTCTGCAAGTCACTTACCACGCTTGCGGAACGGATCAGCTGTCACCTGATAAACTAACAACTCATTAGGTTGCTGAAAACTCTTCGACAGCCCACTACCGATTTCTCACTGTTCGGGACTCACCCATTTTCCATCATCGAGGAGTTATCAGCAGCCTCATGAGTAGAGTATCTTGTCGAGGAAAGCCTGCGATATCCCAACTATCGTACCAACTGAAACATGAGGTGACACTTGTACACTAGATTCATTTGAGGGATCTCACAAATGAGAGGTCCAATCGAATCTGCCGTGATCAATATAATTCACATATCCACAAACTGCATAGAATTTGACGCTCGAGTAGAGCATACAGTCGACGGAACCTCGGAGACTATGTCTACATGATAAATACAAAGTGACACCGGTAGTGGTCTATCGAAGAGATTTCAGCAACATAATGACTATCGTGTCATTCTAACAAAATATGCTCACCTAGTATTCAACCGGACAAGAAAGCTTCCAGCTCACTCCTTAAGTCGTCATCATCGGCGGCAGCAGCAGCAGTACATCACTGATGCATCGTCGCCGTACAACCATATTTTATCTGAAAGCCTTATTGTAGAGAAAAAATAAAAGTGGGTGAGGAATGTACTTAGTGCAAACCTACAACAATCACTTCGAGGAGCCTACCCCTCCAGACATTCATTCAGATACTCTAGAAGGAAGCCGACAACATGAACGCAATTGACATAGATTATCAGACGTTTCTTGCAGTGTCTCGAACCATGCACAACAGGGGATCACGGAACCCCGTCCCGGAAGGCGAGCTGGACCGACAGTATTCAAACTTTTCCTACTTGCCTGTATTATCTCCTTGCAAGGTCAAAGGTTGGTCACCTCTCTGCTTGTGGCACTGAACTGGGTACCGTAAACAGCACAACTGAACACTCACTCGTTCAGTCTCAGATGACTTGCAGTTCCTTCACAATTATTGCTTGTATCCTGATTCAATGACTATCACGCACCCCTGAGTTCTCCCTTAACCTAGGAGAAAATTGCGTAGCCCCCAAACAACTTCGCTTTTACGAACTTGTACGTACAAGAGACCTACCATGAAGGTTTAGTAATCGTCACTCGCTCTCCGCCCACAGCCCTGTTTGGTGAAAGCTCCATTTTATACATCCACCTCAAGTTTGAACTTTTACGCTCACCTACATCGACATTCAGGAATGTATCCCATTCGTCTGGGACCTTCAATGAAGTCCCCCAGCGGTTGATCTGTGCGCCATATTGTTTGATGACTGACCTCCTTTTCCGTCAACTATTCGTAGATGCATATGTCTGCAATTGTTGTCACACCTACTTGCCGCTAAAAATTTCCTATTACAATATTCACTATACCGTCTTGCTCTCGCTATCCAGTATCCGATATCCACATCATCCTTCCTAAGTTCCCCATGCAAAATGAACGCCGCAGTGAACTTTTCAGTAGAAAAGACCGTATTGCGCCATATACACCACACAGAAAGTCTGTATCCTTAATTCATTATTGAGCAGGCTTATGGAGTACATGAGCATATGGATGCGTATCTGATCTTTCAGGTAGTTATCACTTCAATTACAGTGCGCGAGACTGGATGGGGCAGAGAATTTTTGAAGAAACCCAACAAATTAGAGTTAAAAATTCTTTATCGATGACTATCAACTGGCTTCATACATGTGTTTAAAAGGAAAAGTCGACAGAAACACACGCATACTACAACAAAATAACCCAGTCACTCGATCCCACTCAACGAATGTTCAAAAAGCTCCACTAAGATGCATCGATTCCGTCGAGGTACAAATGAAGCAAGTAGGAAAGATAATGGAATGTTTTAACTGGATGTTTTGAGGTTGCTGACTAACGTTCCTCTGGTCGAAACAACTAAGGTTCTTTGAAACCACCTCAATGGGGAGTACACTGAAAGTGGGTCGCCCAACCTGAAGTTCGAGGGACTACTTTTACGCTGTCCCATGGTGTTCAATTTCTTTCTAACAAAGTTTTGTGCAAGTAAAAAGGGTTTTCAAGGGATTGCCACGCGGTCCCTACCACCTGACCTAATTGTGACCGTGCCGGAAAGAAGTAAACCACAGGAATCAGTCGTTAGCTTCTGTTACTAGCATCAACATGAAACTGAATCTTTCTGGTTAGCTGGTGTCAATATTGATCTAGATGATTTGCTAGTCACTTTCAACAGCATACATCCTAGGTACCTCAGTTACTCAGCTACCAGACGGCGCACTGCAGTGCAGAACGCTTTGCAAACAAGCTCGGAGAGGTCAGCTTACCAGGTTTTGTGCAATCATAGAGGCACAACCTAGCCAAGAACTCACATGATTCGCCCAACTGACGTACTACAAAACGAATTGAACGTAATAAGAAGTGTGCTACGAGAATATGTTTGACTGTACTGGCTTTTGACGGAAATCTCCAACAAAACTCTCCTAACCATTGATTTTGAAGGGCTCATTACCTCGATCACTGTACGAACGAGACTCAGTAGTAGGCAACTAAATAATGCAACTACAGACACATTAAAAGGCGCCCGATAACTCTACTAAATTATAGGCCGGCCGGTTATTGTTACGAACAAACTATGCCAGTGGCTAGTTGATCATTCGGATTTGTTTGTAACGCACCTTAAACGGTCGTATGGGGCGAGGGCTTTCTAGCCGCATAGGGAAGAGCTGTCCATACCGTTCACTTCTACAACCGAAGACTCGGCGGGGTCACCATAGTCGCTCACTCGGTGGACACGGGCCACAAGACAGATATGAGGCTTTCTATTTGATTCGCAGGGTCGCGCTCAATCACTCGGAAGTCGTACTTACAAGAAAACCTGAGAATTCCCATGACCCATCCCTGCTAGAAATGGTGGCTAATCAATGTCAATTTTTTCAGTTTCTTTCCAGATCGTCCGATTGGACGCTTAGAAGTATAGGAACCTTGGAATACTTGCGGTAGATCAGCATGAGTTCCCTCCCTTATACACATTTTTCTATTCTTCCACAATAGACTTTAAATATAGTTGGACAAACTTTGTGGTTGTACGGCAGTCAAGCATTTTTGTCAAGATTGATATTGCTGTCCCTGATGATGATGCACCCTGGAGGTGACTGTGAACGTTTGCATAAAGTTACACATCAAACCGCTTATGAACACACGAGACTGGCCACGCAATGCGGCTGACGGCCTTCAAACCGGCCGATCATTATGTTTGGTTCAGTGGCATGCCAGCTGTGACTTGAAAGAAGATGTACATAGGCGGTCGAGGAAGACGACGTGTGTTTCGTGTCAATTTTATCGTAGTACGTATACATGTTACCTGACTTTTGGACCTACATACTATATGTAAACATACAACAAACGCGCATCAGGTGACAGCCTGTTCGTTTCACAGAGTTGCTGGATGCTTTTCAATGATTTGATTTACCTAGTGGCGCTGACGCATATAGTTACTTCAATGAAAAAACAACTGGCGAGTTGTTAGTATCAGTCAGAATCATGACACAACGTTGAACGTTAGGGTTTCAGACTAGATTGCTACAAGGGTCTTAATTGATTAATTGAGCCAAACATTGACTGAGTAGTGGAAGAATAACTAGATTTCCCTAATATTATTGGGTACTCAACACAGCTGCACTGCAGTATTTCATTGACGAATTTGTTCTACATTTCTGGAGATGAATTCTGCTGAGATCTCTCGTAATAATAAAATTATGATCGCTCAGCCGTAATATCTTTCCGGTGGACTGCTGCCGTGCCACCTGAAAGAAAAGTAAGGTCTGGCATACTACTACGTTGCCCAATCCCAGAGATAGAGATCAGGTTCGAACTATGGGCCCTCTGGTCCGTAGGTTCGAGTCCTAAACACTGAGCTATCTTAGCCCCTATGATATGTACCGCACCATCAACTTTATCGCTTGTTCACTAATCTGCAACACTACAAACACGAACTAACATGTTTATCCACAGCGGTGCCAGTACCCTAGCTTCCGGCTATCATACTCTTTGCATATATGCTAATGTGTTCCACATGCAAGTATTCACCAGGACGCCATCTTAAGCACGCACTTCTCAAGCCGAATTCCAGCTGTCGTTATTTTCACGTGAACATGCATTAATTCTGGGTCGACTTCAGACACGTTTCCCAGGTCCCACTTTATGTGATCCAGTAAGGCTCACTTGGCCTACGAAGGTACATGGCTTTGATGAGAAATATTCATCTTCACAGCCTGGATCTGACTTCAGTAAGTTGGGTTCATACAACGGGTTAATAGATTTAAGCTCTTGCAGAGGGAATTGAAATTCCAGAGCAAATCGCTGTCTGGAGAAGTAAAAGGAGTTACGTTTAGCTGTAACACCCTTTCGATGTCTAGCTGTAATGTCATCCAAAAGAAACACGAGGGCATAGATATTGTCAAACTGCCAAATCCTAGACAGGGACAGTCGAGATACCGGGAATGGGTTCAAAAGACGAAAATTCCGGTCAGTAAGTTATCCCGAGCTAAGTTGTACTGACCACAACCCATACTCAGTATAAAGCGTGTACCGTCTTCGGTTTAGTTTTCTAGTCCTATGCGTGTGGGTCATTAGCCTACTTTCGTAGATAAAACTGTAACAGTTCGCCGGCAAAAGAGCAGCTGTGAACTTGACCAGACCATTGGCCATGTATTTCGGACTACCGATAAACGTAAAAAAATAAATCGTTTAGCTGTGGTACCCTTTCTACGCATAGTTATCACGCAACCCGAAGGAGACACTAGGGTTGTGATACTGTCTGGTTGCTCAAGCTTAGACAGCAGAAATCAAAAAGCCATTTGAAAAACAGGGACCTTTTTGGTAGTGGTTTTGCGACTACAAGGCTGAGCTATTTCGAGACCTGCTGGGCTGCCACCAAAAGATTATTCTTCTTGCCGAATTCCGAGTTACAAAGCGAGAGTTCAGCAATATACACGGTGAAAGGAATATAATCTATTGCGAAAAGCCGGGGTACTGTATGTCGCTCCCTGCGTTTGGCTGTGGATACTGTGTGACATGCCAGCAAACGGATGTCAAACACAACAGCACGGGTAACTTGTGGCAAAATTGCCTACACGAGCATTTGAAGGTTTAAAAAAACAGGTGAAGGTTCTGAAACTTACCTTAAATACTCCGAAATCAACCCGGGATACATCGAATTCGCATGGACCGGCGAGTTCAATTTTTTCGGTAGCACATAAGGCCGTCGCAGAAAAGTCATCAGGTTTGACATCCTTTCTGCAACAAAATAAATGATAACCGAAATCAAGAGCCAGCAATAGAAGAGGGAAATGGGTATCCGTCAAGGTATCGTTACATACTTGGTTTTATATTCTTTGGGTACAGGAACCGTAGAACTATAGGAAAGACCAGCAGTGGTTACCGCACTCAAAAATCGTACCGGAAGCCACTTGCCACAAATTCTGAAAAACTGAACCTGACCCAGAATCACGTGAACATTTTCTAAACGTTTGTTTCAAATCAGTAAGAACCAGAAAACTTACGCAGACGATACAAAAGACTAGATTCTAACAGTGGCAGAGTATGGTAGTCACAATCAGATCTAAAACAAGTGAACGATTAGCTGCATGGAAAACTTACAAAATTTGGACTTTTAGATACTTTGTCGTGGTCACGAATGACGGTCTCTGGATTTTCACATGAATATCGCTGGTCATTTGAAACCGATTAAATGCATCTTTCGACAGTTCCGCACGACCAGACACTGAAAAGCCTAGAATACAGGCATGTTCCTCATTCAGTACGACAACGTCGAACGCCATCAGCTGATTCACCCGTAGGAAATCTTCAGGCAAATACAATTCGGGCATGTCTCAGCCGAACTGCAGTATGAGAATACGAAATTTTCCAACGTGGCGACGTTCAAAGAGGAGACCAAGAAGAATGACAAAAACAATGTATCCAAGAAGTTGACAGCATGCAGTCCAAGATTCCTATGGATATTTCGTTCTGAAATTGAGGTAAAACTATGTGGCTTCATTCTGGTCGTACATTTTGCCATATTATGTCTTGCGCGCGCCTCGGAATTGGAAAAAGCTGTTTGTTTTAGTAAACGATAACGCGGTGCGCATCGCATGTAGTCAAGTCATCGTGGTTGGCGGTGCTGAATGAGCGCCTAAAATCAGTCGTTTGCTGATTCACCCAGCGTCCGTCTCGCAATCGTTCCATTGCGAATTCGCTGCTTTCAGCCAATTCCAATTATAATTCTGACAAAGAGGGTGCCATAGACCTGAAGATAACTCAGATTCTCCACCGGCAAAGGCTAAGGTTCACAGCAATACAAAAGGGATTGCACCGTACTACGACCGAATGCTCAAAACGGCCTGCTGTGCTTTCCGTTGTCAGATAGAGAAACGAACCGTTTGGAACAAAGATTACGGTTTTATTTCTGGATAAGCCATTCAGGGTTGGCGATTTCTACCCTTAGAAGGTTGAATACATATCAGGTGGGTAGACAAAACAGAATGGCATTTTAAAAAGTGACTGTTTCACGAATCTCTAATCCATGGATGGGCGAAAACAATCGTTATTCCAATATAGAAAGATCTGATCAATAGAAGAAAGTCGAAATTGATTTGGCCGAACCTATGGAGTCTTCGAAGTGGTCTAAATAAGACCATGAGAGTTACCACATTGCTATCCTGTCTAGGTGTGGGAGCCCTGGCAGTATCCCAGCCCTCGTACAACCATGACCTACACAACTAACAATAAACTCATGCCACATCGGCCGTCGCGTGGTGCCATCAGCCGGATCGCCTTACTTGCTGCATACAGCAGGGCGGGTAAGCGAAAACATGCTACTACTGATACCCCCTTCTTTCACGTTTTCCGTCTTCCACCCTCCCCCACCCAAATTCGAATACTTTCTCCGCAAGTCCCAGCTCTGGGACTGACCGTGTTTCTCGCCCTACATCACACTCAGCTGTAGCTTCTGCACGTCCGAGTTCAGTTACAACCCAAAACACTTCGAAGTCTGTTTTCAAACCCTGAAAGACTGTCTACTTAGCCACCTTCAGTGTTCGTACACTGAAGCAAGCAGGTCAACAGGTGGCTGTTGCGCGTGCGCTGGATTCCCTCTGTATTGATGTATGTTGTCTGTCAGAAACAAGGACGCAGGACGCAAGTACTGTAATCGAACTGACTG